TTATTTATCAGAATTCTGTAAACCTTAGTTAACTTTTCAAATATATTTTAATTAATTTTTCAGCAAGTAAGTAAATATATTTTCACTTGCATTTTTCACCGATGCAACCAATTTGTATATGCAATTATATGCCGGAAATTATGCTCTAATTAACACATATACAGAGCAAATATTCCTTAATAAAATGAATGTTATAATATAATTTAAATTATATGAAAAAAAAAGTGCAATTATTTAAATGAATTTTTTTACCGATTCACAGTAATCTCATATGGAAGCACACATGTTTAACATACATACACTCTAGATCTAATTATTAAGTTGAATTATATAATAAAAATGGATGTCTACATTAACATATTACAAATATAGTTACAAATATTCAGAAAAAAGGATATAAAAGAAAACTAAAATCCTAAGAATTTTGTTGAAATTATTCAACCAAAATAATAATAATTTTTACCCATACATATACGACTATAATATTTATATTAACAAACATATTTGCTAATACGATATGTCATATTAGACTGATCTAAAAAAATGTAGTTATCTATTCAATTCTTCCAGAATAAATTCTAAGTCTAAGAAAAGTATCATAGCGCACTAGCATCTGCGGCCATCAGCTCGTTGATTCCAGATAAAAATAAGATTGATTTAAGAATGATAAAGATTGAATAAATGCCAAAATTGGCTTGATTTGAGCTCGATTCGTACTTGATTTCAGAATTCAGAATATCGGTTATATTTTCTTTATAAAATTGAATCTGTCTAATAACCAACCAAAAAAAAACGTCAAAAAAATCAGCAGCATGTAATGAATTACATTTGAATCTCTATGTGATGATTTGTGTATAAAATGAATAGATGTATACTGCATGTAACTATGACGGCATTGCTTGTATGTCAGATTCCTTTTCTTTAATAGATTCTTATATCTATATAAAGAAATTATATGAAACTAGGGAATATGAATGAGATACATACACAAGGAAATAGTTAAAAGTCAAAATATATAACAATGGATCAATACGGATTATAGTTTACACTACTTTAGCAACTACATTTAGTATAAAAATATTTATGGGCAATTTCAAGTGTCAAGTCAACCAATTTTTAAAATCGATGTCTTCCGATTTGGATGAAATTTGCACCAATGTTAGTACTATTGATAGACACAAATCAGTCTCAAATTCAAATCACTCAAAGACTGCTGGACTTAGAGGGGGTTAAAGTTGGACATTTTGATCACACAGAGTTTTATTCAAATGAGTGTAATTTTTCATCCATTAGTCCTAGCAAAAATTGTCCAAAGGAGTTCAGAGAGTAATTTCTTCATTGTTTCCAAAAAAAATTAATTTTTTTTTTAATTTTATTCAAAAAACTCCTTCTTTTTGCTCAGAAGGCTCTTTATAGTCCCATAAATCTTGTTATCTCCATGGTCTTTATGTTGTTTTTTTTTTCGCTCAAAAGAAACTTAGACCATTAGAATTTACGCCGCACACATTGGATTAACCATATTATGTTTAATATGTAACCATAATATGGTTACTTGAATCAATAATATGATTACTTGAAACCACAATATGATTATTTTAGACAATATAAGACAATGTTATTGGGTCACAATATGATGCTACAACATCACATTATGATTGATAATACAATATTATGATGAAATTTTACTACTATATTTAATCATAATATGATATCTTAAAGCCTCTGATTAGGCTTTACGTATTGTTTTCCTAATGGAAATCTTCGGTCTTTTCGAAACCATTATATGATTATATGAAACTATAATATTATGGTTACTTGAAACTACAATATGATTACTTGAAACCACAATATGATTATTTTAGACAATATAAGACAATGTTATTGGGTCACAATATGATGCTACAACATCACATTATGATTGATAAAACAATATTATGATGAAATATTAGTACTATATTTAATCATAATATGATATCTTATTACACTAATAATGATCATAATATGTTTTAACTTTAACCATAATTCTAACTATAACATGTTGCTCTTAGATTATGGTTACCACAACCATATTTTTTCTCTGCGTACATGCTTTATTTCTGCCATAGATTAAACAACAGAAAAAATACTAAGCTACAGAATAGACTTTAGATATAATTTTGAGCCCAAATTACATAATTTCGACTCGGTCTGAATGGGCTATTATACGACTTTAATCCAACATTAGCTTTTGATCTGAACAGAAAATAATCAGAGGCTTTACGTGTTGTTTTCTAATGGAAATCTTCGGTATTTTTTTATATAGTTGTTTGACATATTTTGCCTTATTAATATCTGCTAGACCTTTTTTTCTTTCCGATCTTGGTTCTCTTTCAATGTTCAAGTTTTCCTTATTGAATGTTTTTAAACAGTACCGGAAGAACTTGTAGGTTTATAGAAAATCTTGTTCAGGTAGAACGAATTGACCACATGATGTTTCTAAAGCCAAAAAATAGAAAGCATTTTCAAAAGAGCTCCCAACATATCTGGTAGGAAAACAGCCCGGTTATCTTAGTGCTCGGACTATTTGGTACAAAAAGTTAAGGCTAATGCAGGTTTAAAACCATACAAGGCTCAAAAAGTTCCTGACAGGAACGCTGCTAAAAATTTAAAGGCCAAAAAACAGAGCACGGAAATTGAAGTCAAGTTTTATAAACTTTACGACTTCCTGGTCAAAAATTTTATGTTGCTGATGCTTGAGGGAATGTTGAAGCAAAGTTTAGAACCCAAATGCTGACAAGATTTCCCAAAAAGTCCTTGGTATGACAAGCAATATGCAGTTGCACTATAAAAACGTTAATAGAAGGGTTTCCGAAAAAGATTCAAAATTTCATAACTAGTGATTAAGACTATAAAAATATATATATATATTTTTTGTAAGTTGTAATAATAATTGAATCAAATAAAAAAAAAATAAAACTGTAAGTTTCGATTAAAAACCAATACAAATACCATGTTGCAAACAACATGTAGAACTTATTTACTCTGTAGTTTGACATACAATCGCATCGAGGAAATGTATATTAAAAGAGAAAATACTATTGTACGAGGTGAAATTTATGACATTTATGAAAATTCTTTTGTGGTATAGAAATAACATAACAGAATGAATTTGTATAAAGATGTGGTTTATGTAGTGTGTTGGAATTTTGTTCAACAAGAGTGTGACATTCTTAAAAGTTAAATATATCCGTGATTTATATGGTTCATATGTAATATTACGAGTATATTTGGTTTAAATAATATTTGCTTACTTTTATACAATTTCTTTTGCAAGTGACTTTATTAAAAAGTAGTAGTGTCTTGGTAATGCAAACAAATATTATAACCGAAATTGTAATTTAACAAAAAACATGTTAAACAAATTTGTCATAAGGTTACTGAATAACTATGGAAACATATCAGGGTAATTTGGTATAAGATTTGGAATAGTTTACTGTTAAAAAGTCCGTTGTCGAAGTATATACATACGTACGACAACACTATGTAATGTTGACAACGTTGCGTCTGCAATTCGTTGTCGAAATCTAAATTTTATAAATGAATTTTAAGAGTTTATTTTAGTTAAGAATTCATTTAAACAAAATAACTACACAGAGGGAAAAGAAAATATACACGTCTGGTACCAAATTGACACCAAAGTCTTTATAATTTTTCAATAACATCCGTTGTCAAAGTATTTACATACGTAAGACAACACTGTGTAATGTTGACAACGTTGCGTTGACAATTCGTTGTCGAAATCTAAATTTTAGACGCATCCGTTGTCTAAATGATAACAAACGTGTTAAGCTCACTATTGACAAAAAATCCGTTGTCAATAGTGAGCTTACCACGTTTGTTAACATTTAGACAATGGATGTGTATAACATTTAGATTTCGACAACGAATTGTTGCAATGCTGTCAACATTACATAGTGTTGTCGTAAGTATGTACAGCTGCGTTCAAAAAAATAGGAGTGAGACTTAAAAATAATTGTGCATCTTAATTTAAAAAAGAAAGATTTACAGAAATCCAATATTGTTTCACGATATTTGTTTGTTAAGTGTTTAAAATACAAAACAAATGAAATTTTGTATATAGGTTCATTAGTTTTTTAGGTATTCACTTTTTTCGAAATCCATATCCGAATACGACTGTTCAAAAAAATAGGAGTACCGTATATTATCTAACCTAAGTTAGATTAATTTCCTTTATTCGTAGTAAATATTAAAAATTTAACATAAAACTGTTATATTTAGATGATTTTGAGCTCAGTTCATAATTATTTCATTTAAAATCCTGAAAGAAAATGTCAGAATTGACGAAAATGAAATCTGTTCAAATATCTTGAAAATTATAAAAATATCGCGAAAAAAATATGAAAATTCTCACGGTAATTGCATTAAAAGATTTTTCGAATTCTTTAGGAAGTCAAATGTTTTAAAATCTGTCATAAAAAATAAACATTTTATTCAAAAACGATAAGGGCTTCCCATAAGCGCTTATCATTTTTTAAAAATTAATCCCATTAGGGCGTCCCGAATTAGTGAAACTAAGCCAAATTGTAGTTATTAAACATCGTGATCAATATTCAGTTAGCTCAGATCAATTTTTAAACAAATCTTTTTTGAAAAAATTTAATTTTAGACTATAAAGCATATAGTGAAACCCATAAAGTTTGCCAAGTAACACATTTAGAGGTGGTTTCATAAATGGATGAGTTTTTAATGCATGAATACGACAACAAATTACATTTTAATTCTAAATGAATTCAGAAAATATATTGGAAGTCCATTAATCGAAAAATATTAAGCTAAAACCAACTTTCAAGGAAGTTGTATAATAGGAATGATTCATGATGGGCCTTGACAAAAAGGGTATGGTATAAAAAATTGTAAAATGGTATCGTAGACCAAATGTTGTAGGTAAATATATTACCCCAAGATATGTTCTCATATTCCCAATAAACAAATTTGATAAAATGGCGGTATTGTGGTATGAAAACATTATTGATTCCAAATTGTTGGAAGGTCGTTCCATAGGAAGTAGGCCATTACATGGTTGTCGACTAACTGATTCTACATCAAAACGTTAAAAGACTTTGCATATAACGTATTTTAAGGTTTTCTGAATAAATAACTGCATATTTGTGAATAATCGGCCACGACATGTGTCATCAAGCCCCTCAAAACCGTTGTCGGAAAGACATTAAGTTCCGGAGGCTCATATATTCAAATTCTAAATAAAATCTTGACAAAAATGACTGACTGTACTGCTACATATTAATTAATAATATTTTAGATGAAATTCCCTTCGTTTTTGTTTTTATTTTAAAAATATTTGAACTTAAATCGAATACTCCTATTATTTTGAACAACAGATTTTCTATATAAATTTAAAAATATATACATATATATTTTTTTAAATAAATTTCTTAAATATTTAAAATAACGATTATAAAAATTAGAGAACATGTTAAATAAATAAATTATAAAAATATTTAATTGAAAATCTAAATCTTTCACTAAAAATTTATATTTGAAATTTTTGAAATTTTCACTCCTATTATTTTGAACGCAACTGTATATACTTTGACAACGGATGGTATTGAAAAATTATAAACAGTTTGGTGTCAATTTGGTACCAGGCGTGTATATTTCTTTTTCCCTCTGTGTATTTAGAAAAATCGAGCCAGACTTTTTCCATTAATAATAGTTTTATTTTAAATTTACAAATCTTTAATTAGAATCCAAATAAAATGCATTTAATTAAAGCAAACACTAATTAAAAATCCAAAGCTACTGTTACAAGTATTATTTAGAAATTGAAAAAAAAAGAAAATATTTAGTCCAGACACAACAACCTGATGCTTTTTTACTTTACTAAACACCTTCCTTATAAAAATAAAGTTCAAAAAATCCACTATTGAATTCAGGAAAATGCTAAAGAAAAGAAAACAATAAATTTTATCTTGGCATCCACACAGTATTTTTATTTAACACTCGAAGTGGAAAAAAGTGAAATTTGTAAAGGAATTAATAAAAAATACGTACAATACGAAATTAGCCAAAGGTATAAGTGAGTAGTGTTTTACAAGAAATGGCTGTAATCTGAAAAATGACTCCCAAGTTGTTGCTTGTATCTTAAATTGCGTTCACTATTTGTTGAAAGTTATTTAAAAGAAACAATACACGGACTCTATACGTTGAAAATGGTGGAAGTGATGTAACATGCACTGAAAGTTTATTTTAAATGCTGAATTGAAAGTTATATTTAAATTTACTTGAAGGTACTACTATACACTTTGCATAGAAATACTAGTCTAAACTTTTGTTTTATTATTAGCAAAGTTTATTCTTCAACTTGCAAGGATATATATTGATGAAATATACACTTTTTTAAAACAATATTAAAGAGAATGTAAACTATACCAAGTAAGAAATTATATTGGGGGATTCAAATAAAGATCACACAGGCTGGTAAAACAATGTTTTATTATCAAGAAATGGATACATTGCTTCATGAAGATTATTGACAAACTCAACAAGTGCAACATTTCAAAAAAAAAAATGATTCAAAAAAAGCGGGAAAATTGAAGCAGGATTACAGGGAATCAGTACCAAATGCAAATGATTCGTTTAAAGCGAGCATTAGCCGAAAATTACTCAGAATATGTTACCAGATTTTGAAGCGGAATATTCTATTATGACAAGGCATAGCTACATGTTACAATACCTTATAAGTGGCTGGAAAGATATACCTAACCCGTATTATAAGTCTCTGGCATATGTTTCACTTCAAAACTGGATTTCACAATGTTTCACAATAAAAGCTAAAAATTTGAAAAAAGACACAATATTTGATTCATCTTTAAAAACAAAGACTTTATGTTGGTGGTATTTAAACTATTTTGGATCTAAGTGATCTCACAATGTACTAATTTTAAGAATATTTGCTTCGATTTAAACTTTATGATTTGAGTTCGATTCGTACTTGATTTTAGTATTTTTTGGAAAAAAGTTCATTACAAAAACATTTGTTTTATTATAAATAGAATTGGAGAGTGAATCTGAGTCGGTTGGTGTAATTAAGGATAGGTTTAACACAATCTATATATATATATAAAATTCTAACGTTACTGACTGACTAACTTACTCACATCATCGCACAGCCTAAACGGTTGACGCTAAAAAGCTGAAATTTTAGTGTAAATTCAGGAACCACATATCACCTAAACTCAAGGAGGTACAACAAAACTTAGGGTAGAAGGGGGACCATACGCCACTTTTTTTTTGAGGCGGCCTCAAATTAAAACCACAATACATATTCTTAATTTTTTCTTGGTTCGGATACTTAGATATGTTGGCTTTAGTTTTATTCCTTTCAATCTTTCCTAAGTCATCCCCATGTACATATTTTTTTAACTTTTCCGCACTGACCAAAAACGGCGATATCGCCCCATCCATGGGGTAAATACGCCAAGGGGATGGGGCAGATTTGTAAGTAAAATAAAAGATAAAATTACAAAAATAAAAACTTATTTTGCTGTTTTATACTTTAATTCATTAAACAAAGTATAATAAACCAGATATTTATTGTTTATTTCACAAAACTTAACAAAGAAATTAAAACAAATTATTACTGATTTTTTCTATATTTTAACCAAATTTTGTTCTACATCACAAGCATTACATATATTTGGCGCATGTGCCCCACGGGCAGTTCTGGGGTTTAGTTTCAATTTTTTTCGGGCTTCAAATTATATTATCGAAAATATTATTATGTCTTATTGTTCACTATTATTGACGTTCTAATACTGACCAATATATTTTTTCTATCACAAAAACTAAAAAAGTTAGCACAAAAAGTTCACACAGTGAAATATTTTCACAGCCCTTTGAAAAACAAATAATCATGTCTGCCTCCCATCATATGTAAAGTTAATGTTTCAAATTTTCAGGGATGATAGATAATCGACAAACGAAAACAAAATTTGATAATGCGATAAAATCGATTTCTCAGTTTTCAAGTTATTCGCTATTGGCAGATGTGCCCCTATGGCGTATGATCCCCCTTCCACCCTAAATAGTTATCGCTATGTATGTATCTTTTAAACTAGTGAACATAGAAATAAAAATAAGAATACAAATTTAGTACTTTTTGATTATTTGGACGTTTAAGGGGTGAAAATTATACCTATATTTGGTACTTTTTTCACATCCTATTTATTGGCTTACACATATTTGAATTACTTGGAATAACATTTTTATTTCGTCAATATGGAGGGAAAAAAGTACCAAAATGGAATAAAAACGGGAAATTTTATTGAATTTTATTCAAACCAATTTTTATTGAACCAATCTTGATAAAAAAACTTTTTGAGTTTTCTATAATATTGAACCTAGAGTAATGAATTAAAGCATGTACATATATACTACAAGCATACCCTGGGTGCTTCGCTACCCTAACAAAATTAAATACATGCAAAATTTGGATTACTTTTATAGAAAATTTTAATTGATTAAAAGTTTATATTTTTACGTTCAATATTATTGAAATTTATCACGTGAATAAATTCGCATTCGCAAATACACGCTCCTTGTATTTTTAATTTCATTCGTTTAGAAAATGCCGAAAATGTCGAAAGTACTATTTGAAAAACGTACCTTTTATAAATGTTCATTCAATCAAATGTTTCTATGTTCAATATGATAGAAAATTCAAAAACTATAATTTGATAAGCGAAAATGTACCAAAAGTCCCTTTCATTAGATTTTCATTCACTCAGTCCCTAAATATTAAATTTTTTATTTCTATGTTCAATATCGTAAAAAAATCCAAAGAGGTATTATTATTCAAATTCTGTTCAAATTTATGTTTTAGGTTGAATATTTGGAAAATTCAAAAAGTACCATTAGAGAGATAAAAAGTATTAAAAAGATCTATCCTAAAGAATCTTATTCAATAAGGACCGTATATATTTAATAATCATGTATTTTGAATTCATATTATAGAACATACAAAGAGTATCAATTGAAGAAAGAAAAATAAATTCTACCTTTGTGAAAATTAAAAAGATTACCATTTTCCCCCTGACGCCTAGGAATAGACTATTTAGAAAATTAAGTTTAAGAAATATTCCGTGCTTTAATCTATATATCAAACTAAAACGATTAAAATCTGCATTCATTTGTTCGAGAAAAATTGTGGTTTCAAAAAGTACCAAATAATTTACCCGAATTTGGTCTTTATAGATCTTAGTACCCGAATTCAAAAGTAATATACCAATAGCTTATTTTGTGTGAGTAAATTAACTATTTTTTCAAATTTTATAAAAATTGGCTCAAATTGAATAAATAATATTTCCCTTTTTTACCTTTTTGGTACTTTTCTCCCAGTGAAATAGCAAATATGTTGTTTCAATAAATATTACAGAATTAGCACATAATTTAATAGGTATACCTCAATAAGTCGAAATTTTCTGAATGTGCCAAAAAAAATGCCAATAATACTTTTTTTCCTTTTACGCCCAAAAAGGACTGAATTTTAAAAAAGTACGAAACAGGTGTCTCATAATTTTGGAAGATATATACAAAATATTTACAAACATTTCATTAAGTTTATTTGTTAAAAAGTTATAAAGGGCCAAAAAAAGGTACCAAAATCACCTTTGTTACACATTTTCACCCCTTAAAAGTACGAATTTCAAAAAAGTACCGGACACCCATCTGCTCATTTTGAGATTAGATACAGGTGCATTTAAAATTTTTCTTATATCACTTATATTGTATTATTAAGATCACCTCTTTTACCCGTTTTCCCCCTTTTTTACCCCTAAATGTACAAATTTCCAAAAATCCCTGCTTAGTGGATCTACATAACCAAAAACACATCTACTGTCAAAATTTAATGATTCTAGGTTCAGCCGTTTGGGCTGTGCGATGATGAATCAGTCAGCCAGTAACGCTACTCTTTTATATATAGATAAAAGGGAATATATTGGTACTTTTTCATTCTTTGACTGATACTTTTGGAGTCTTTTTTAAAATTGAACCTAGAATCGTAAAATTTAACACTCAGGGACTTAAATAAGTTGAAGTCTGTAGTCCAGAGTGTATGAAAATCTTTAAAGAGGTATTTTCTGGTAATTTTTTGTTCTTCACTTATAAATTTTCTACAATATTGAACTTAGAATTATAAAGTTAAATATGCTGCGTCCTGATTGAATTTAAATCTATAAAATGGGTACAATGGACTATAGTTTGGTACTTTTTCGTTCCTCAACTCGTATTTTTTTGAGTTTTTGTAATATTAAACTTATAAATATGAAATTAAACATGCAGAGTCCTGAGTAACAGAGAATATATAAAAACGGAACTTTTAGCCTAGAAATATGAAATTAAACAAGGAAGCGAGTGAGAATTGAAAAATTATTACGTAATATATCTTAAATACTTTTTCTTTATTACAAAAATACTACGGTAGGATTTATGTTTATATCATTTAATTGCAATGAGGGTAGCGAAGCACACCGGGCAATGCGAGTAATAGCATAATCCAAAAACATACATAAGTAGATTTAGAATGGATATAATAAAAATTCCTAAGATTTTTTAGAAACTTCCCTAGAACCATGAGGAATGATGAAAATTCTAAAACATTAAGAGGGATTTATAGTATAACAGTTTAATTTCCATAGATTCCCATTTTGAAAATTGTTCTATGGCATGCATCATATAATTTCACTTTCAATTTAAGTTATTCCTGCCACATTGCAAAATTGTTTCCATTTCATACTATGTATGTATGTACACTAGGGTGGCTCCAAAATGGAAGTTGCTGATGTTCACGCCGAAATTGAAAATTTGGTCTAAGGCACCATTTTTCAAAATTTTTGTCCTGACGTCTATATTTTGTGAGCTGTATCAAAGGATAAAAGGTCCTTTTTAAAGGTTTTTATGATTTCTATTATATTTTTTGCAAATAAACCATATGCAAATTTAGTATCATATGAAAGGCCTTTGGGAGATGATTTCAATGACATAACACAATTTTGTTTACAACTCCAAAATTATTACAAATCTTGTAATTTTTTGGAAAATTTTTGAGTTTTTTAAATTTTTATTTCGTATAATAAGATTGCCGGCGGCGCGGCATACCAATTGTTACTGGCGGCCAGCCGCCGCCGATTTGAAACGTCTCGGCTTATTTCTCTGGCGTATATAGGGGTCTATAAATTCAAATAAACTTCGATCTAGATTGAATTGTGAAAAACGGAAAAAACAGTTAAAATGTAAAAAATCTGAAAATTTTCCGAAAAATTTAAAAATTTCGATTTCTGATACGCAATTTAAAGCGTCTCTCAATGATTCCAATATTTCATATCTTTCCTTTAGAAGAAATCATAAAAACCCTAGGACTTTTTTATCCTTTGATCCAGCTAATCAATATAGATGCCAGGACAAAAATTTTGAGAAATGGTATCTGAGAATCAATTAAACTTTAATTTTAGTTGGGAACATTGACACCTTATTTTTCCTCCATAGAAAAGGGGACACCCTAATGTACACTAAAATTTTACATACGTTTATGTTAATAAAACATTAAAAATCTAACAGGATTTTTTTATAGTTTAGAAATATTTTGTTTGAAATATTTATGTACTCGTTAGTTCAGCATTTATAACTGAAATGAATAATTCATAAATATACAAGTAATTTACATTTATTTATAGATAGCAATTGCAAAGAATAAGTTTCGATCAAGAACACTTAAAAATAAAGTAAAAAACAATATCAAAAGAAATTTTTAAAATAAACATAAGGAGATTTTGAAGAATTTAAAGTTAAAAGTAATAGCAAAAAAGTCAGACATATTAAAATTCCAAATATTATTTGAATAAAGTAAAGAAGAGAAGGGTTTTGGAAGATAGAAGAGGAAATAAAAAGTTAAGAAAAAATATTTTCTATATAACTTTCCTACATATTCTTACAACTTGCTATGAATATAAGAAAATAATCATTAAAATAAAGTGAATTTTAATATAATTGCAACATTAACAAGGCCACTAGCAATCACAATTTTTACGAGTTATTTTTTTAACAGTAAGTAATTAAGGGAAAAACAAATTCATTTTTATTTCAATATAAAACCAGGTCAGTCTTACAAAGAAATCGGGGAAAAATAAATAAAATAAAATACAATATGTATAATACTTTCTCAAAATAAACAATTTTATAAATGTTATCGCAATAGCAGATTAATGAACATGATATTACATCCTTTTTGTCATTCTACCTTTACATTTCAAATTTATCAAAAGTGAACTAAAAATCAACTAAAAAGTATCACAAATTGTTAATCTCTGCTGTGTAATATCCACTTCATAGAATGGATATATTTCCTACTCTTTTTTTTTTTTTTTTGCACCCAAAGTTACAGCAGCAAAACCTTTTGAAGCATTAAAAGATTTGTATTTGAATGCAGATGTTTGGTTACAGATGTCTATCAATATTCACTGTAAATACTGTGTGGAAAAAATTGTAAAGAAAAAAAAAGCGAATTGCAAATTTGAAACTGGGCTGGCTGCATTTATTTTTCCGTTTAACTGTTTTTTCACTTTTAATAAATATTACAGCTGGAGGTTGTTTAATGGGCGGTTAGGGTTTTGAAAATAATAAGTTAGAAAGATTAGAAGACACTGTTTTTAATAAATGTGGGTCATAAAGTGTTATTCTAGTTTTAACAACAACTAAAAGTGAAATATGCCAAAAGAAGTAGTCTTCGAATTTTTCGAACTTAGATTCAATTCTAAGCTACTGATTTAAATTTAGTAAAATTAAATTAATCACCCCTATAGCCAATCAAAATTTTACACTTTTTTCGTTCACCAACTTTTTGACGTGAAAAACAATTTCCCTATTGTGAATTTTGTAAACAATAAACAGCTGTTGCAAACAAAATCAACTATTGTGAATCAAATGTTCACGGCATTTTCACCATATCAATTTTCCCTTCTAGGAACAGTATTTTTACTTCATATTAGAATTTTAAAATTTAAGATTATTTTTCTCAACTTTTGTCTAAAACGTAGATGAAGATTAAAGTACAAGTCATACTTGAAATAAGTACACATCGGGATTGAGCTCAAATCAAACACATTTTGGTATTAATTCAATCTTGGATATCCCTAAATCAAACTTATGTATTTGCATTTCTCAGTACTTTTTTACATGAAACAAGTAAGAGTTTTATATTCCACTATGACGAATCTTTCATAAAACTTGACTTTCATAAAAATAGCAAAACATCTGAAAGTTTATCGTCACACTATTTAAAAATCCTTAAAACAGTATAAGGAACACTTGAACATTAAAAGAAAACCTGGATAGGAAAGAAACAAGTTCTAGCAGATATTGATAAGGCAAAGTAAGTCCAACAACTTTGTCAAAGAGAACCAAAGACTTCCATTAGAGAAGCACATCGTAAGCTAATAATTAAAACCTGGATCGGAAAGAAAATAGGCCTAGCACACATTGGTAAGGTAAAATAAATCCAAAAACTCCGTTTAAAGATAAACAAAGACTTCTGTTAGAGAAGCATCTAGTAAAGTTAAATGCTCTGATTCTTTTGTATGCAGAGCCAAAGCTAATAATGAAAACCTGAATCGAAACGAAAAAATATATAGCAGATAAAGCAAAATAAGTCCAACAACTGTTTAAAAGGGAACCAAAGACTTACATTAGAGAAGTATGTAGCACGTAAAGTTAAATACTCAGCTAATAATGGGTTCAAATCGTATAACGTTCAGAAAGTTCCAGAACAATCTGGTAAAAAAAAACTTGCTGTGTGATGTATGATGAAACTTATGCAATGGAAAAGTCTTTTCATTGGCATGACACTATTGCTAGGCTAGGGGCTACACAAAATAGAAAGAAAAATTCTAATTTAATCTTTTAAAAACACCAGCTGCAAAATACTTTCTTATCATTTACAACACTTTATTAATATTTCGACAAAATTTTCTTAATCCACTTCTAACATTCCAAATAATAATAATTTTTAATGTATTTTTAAACATTTTATAATGTTTTCATTAAACATGTTTAAAATATTTAAACATTTGTCACACCTAATTATTGCTACAAAACATTTTTTTTTCTTCATTTTTATTTAATTTAATGTATAAAACGTGCCTTGTTCTTTAACACAATTACCTAAGTACTTTATATTTGTTTCCACCACCCTCCAATCCATGACGAAAAAATTGTGTTAAAATTTAAGGATTTTGTTTAATTCTCTTTTAAATTGTTAAGAAATTTAAATGTAGAATCATTCAGATTTTCAACAGTTTATAGCTCTCAACGACAAATAAATAAATAAATAAACCACCCTCTGGTGGTAAAGACCTTTCCTTAACCTTTTTCTGTAATAATGAAAAAAATTACAAATTCTAACAATTAAAAACAATTAGGTCTCTTAGCAGTTAATGTTTGGCATGTAGTGGTTAATGAGTTGGCAATAATACAAGAGGAAATAAACAATAATGAACACCATCATGCCGATGAAATCCATACGCCGTACAAGGATTTGGAATGGGTGTATATTGTTATAGGTATACGTGCATGCATGGAACAATTATAGGATCATATTTACATACTACATGTAACCAATAAAGTTAACAATTAAACAAAAAATGTGTATTTGTCCTGAACATTTAATAAGAAATACATGTTCGTTTAACATTTTGCAGCAGAAATAAATGGTGTAAATTGAAGGAGTACTCTTGATCAGACACCCACCTCCCCTTCAACGTTTAAAAGACGAAACCAATAATAGCCCCCTTATTCAAATTAGTAAGTTATTTTAAGTGGGCATAAGGCGACTACAGATCGCCTTCCAAGAAATAGCTTGGAATAATGAAAAACCTTAACTAACTAACTAACTAACTAACTAACTAACTAACTAACTAACTAACTAACTAACTAACTAACTAACTAACTAACTAACTAACTAACTAACTAACTAACTAACTAACTAACTAACTAACTAACTAACTAACTAACTAACTAACTAACTAACTAACTAACTAACTAACTAACTAACTAACTAACTAACTAACTAACTAACTAACTAACTAACTAACTAACTAACTAACTAACTAACTAACTAACTAACTATCTATCTAACTAACTAACTAACAACGAACAGTACTATATACTACTACAGCTATCTACTGTAGGGTAGCTCCAGTAAAGCACGTATGTTGTTTGCTGCGTCCGTAGCACATATAAATGTATTGGCAACAAAGGCAATTGTTTGTTTGAAAGTCAACGGCAGTTGCAATTTATTGTTACTGTTGGATAGTAGTAATAATACTACAACTACACCGTTAGTATTTGTATATTTTCTTGTTGTTTTGTTGCCTTACTCTCTTTTAAACAATTTTTTTTTATTTCAGTATTTTTTGAACCAAGTCCAATATCGACAAAAACCAGCGACTACTTAATAAACATGAAAACATATCCGTTGGCATACCAAAACCAACAACATCAGTTAAAACAACAACGCAAAAAACGTAAGCTACTAAAACAACAACAACAGAAACAAGAGCAGCAACATAAAGTTGGTAAAGAGGAAACGGATGTTGCACTTGTTGTTGGCCGGGCAGCATGGTGGATTCCTGTATTGGCAGCAAACAACAATATGCGAAATTTAACATTCGCCGAAGCATTGAGAGATTTTCTACAAAATGTTTCATTTCATTGTTATGGAAAATTAGTTGAAACAGGACGTCGTTATCAAGAGAGGTACGTTTGTATGAGTGTTTTTTGTGATTTTTTTTTTTTTTTTTTTTTTGTTTATCCAGATAGATGTTGACGTCGAGCTACCCATATGAAGAAACAACAAATTGGTTATTTCTTTGTTCAAGAGTGTGTGTAATAGCGTACTTGATGTACGCAAAAATGTATTTGATTTTTTACACCAGCGTAACACGTTAGTAATTGGCCAATACACCCACATTTTCTTTTCATATCCTATTTTTATCCTTTTTTCCTGCATTACGTTCTTTTGTATTGTTGTTACAAATAACAACAATCCATTCGTTCGTTCATTCCATTACCCTTTTTGTCAAAAACAATACAAGAAAGAAAATTAATTACATACTCTATTTATTTTTGGAACCCAGACTATTTTGGTTGGTTTTCCATATCGCAGCATTGTCTACGCTAATTATTTTCCTCTTGAATAATCGCAATACTGGCGGTCAACTATTGACGACCACCATATATGATCCTTTGTATCCCATACGTAAAGTGCCATTTCCAGCAGTTTCTATTTGTTCAATAAATCGCATCTCCAATGCGTCTGCCACACGTTACGCTGAAGAACTGTAAGTTTTTCTCTATTAACACTGTCATCGTGGATTTTAATTAGTTAGTAGATTTTAATTGTTGTTTAACTTGCCATTCCATATTTTCTAGTAATAGAAAGGATCCCCGTAAACGTGGAGTAAATTACTTTTATGAACAAATTAAAATGTTGCAATACAACTATTATGTACAAGATGACATAAGCGATTACTATAAGGCACTGACATTTCAAAGATTTTTGGATATATACGATCGAGAGGATTCAGAATTGTTCTACAATACCCGAAGACGAATGGCTAAGGTAAGCAAATACTAAAACAGAGGCTACAATCGTTTTTAACTGAGAAAACATATATAACGGCTTGTATATAAATTTATAGTGAACTAGCTGAACCTGAGCCACCGGCAATAATGTTGATATATCTTTTTCTTCTTGTAATTTTAAAAGCTGTCGGTTATTTTGGTTTAGTTTAAATTGACTGAAAATTGTACGGAACAATTCTCACGATTCCTGAAACCTATTTATACATATTTGAAATTTTGTCTCATAAGGCGTGATAGTTCCAGAATTTATTGATTTCGAACAAACATTACTCTTTAATTGATATAGATTATGGAAGGCGGTCCTATATATAGACTTTATGTTATATACTGCCACGATTTACTCATTTATTAGATGTATGTATCTGCAATATAATATTTTATTATTATATATCGATATTTATATGGACTTTACAGAATTTGAAAGATAATTTTTTAAATGCCATTACTTTTCATTGAAGTAGAATCATTTGATTTTAATCTTTCGAGAAATCTTAATCTTAAGTTTGAAACCAGATTCGGATTCAGCGCAGCTTAATACTTTGTAAAATATACTGTGTTCTCTATGTTAAAAATTTGATGCCTGTTTTATGGACCAATTCTAAAAACTCTTGTAGAGGTCACCTATAAAGTTTTTAGTTGGTTCGTATCGCATCATATCAATACTTCCCATTTTCAATACTAGTTTATCTCTCTTGGGACCTATAGTGTTTTCAACAGATCGGCGGACATATATGGCCAGATCCTCTTTCTTAGCATCAAAATGTTATTTCATTCTAAAAACAAATCATAATAAAATAAACCCTTGGCTACCGAGTTTGTCCTACGTGGGATCGGATTCATTTCCACACCTTTAAAGTAAAAATCTCGAAAATGCTCTAGGAGTTGTAATTCGTAAATACAACCTGTTTGGATCTTGTTCGTGACTACCTTTGGATAACATGTTCAACCTTTCAGTAAACAATACTGAGAACTCAATTCGAGAACTTAACTTAATCAAAGCTTTAAGTTATCGAAACAAAAATTTAAATTTTTATAAAAATTAAGGTTCCGAACTAATGAAATTTATCTGGGAAATATCATAAAATATAATTTAAAGAAAATTATTTTTAAAGTAAAATAATTTCGGGTCCATAGCAATAAAATTTTTAAAATTTTGGAAATACATAAATAGTTTATCACAGCAAATATTGTTTAATAATTTCTTATAGTTAAATGATACCTAAATATTTATATTTGTCTCATAATTTCAGCTTACACCCAACTGTTCAGATATTTTAGTACAATGTCGTCTTGGTGGCAAATATATTAATTGTGCTGAAGAATTTAAGGAAACATTTACATCGAAAGGTCTTTGTTGTACATTTAATAACAATAAAAAGTAAAAAATTTAAATATAATTTATAAAATATTTAATAATGCGAATATATACATTTCCTTATAAAGGTATTCAAAAGTACGTAGTTTTCGCAAACGTTATTTTGGTGAAAGCTTAGGCTTAGTATTGTTACTAAAGGCTCCACATGACGATGATTTCTATAAAATGTTTACTTTAGATGGATTTATAGTAAGACCTAATTACTTCAACAAATTACATATACAAGATATTATCTACTATATTTTTAGGTTGATATACATTCACCATCATTATATCCTGATCATTCATCGGGTGGTGTTGAGGAACGTTTTGTACAAACAGGAATTGATACGTATTTAGCAGTTACACCACGTATTTTTGAAACTGTTAGTGAAGCAAGATTTTTAAGACCTAAGGCGGTCAGTTAGAAATGTGTTTACTTTCCTTTAACAATATACTATTAATTTCAAAATTTCTTTATTTACAGCGTAATTGTTTATTTAGTGATGAACTTCCTCATATGTATGGGAATGGTTATACTTTTAATAGTTGTGTTACACTTTGTCGTATACGAAGTATTTTTGTTCTGTGCGGTTGTATGCTTTTTCCAACACCCTATGAAAATTTAACCAATCCTATAGATACGGTGTTCTGTAGTTTACAACATAAGGAGTGTTTAATGCGTTATGATTGTAAGTATTTATTTTATAAATGCATATGAATTTTAAAGGAATGAATTGATTATTAACTAACTTATGTAAAGAAATGGTCAAAACCGAGCAACTTTTCACATAGAGAAGTTGTCACTAATAGTGTAACTTTTCCTACAGAAAAGTAATGAGTGATCAGTAACTGAACAACTGAGCAACTTTTAATATAGAAAAGTGAACAGTAACTGAGCAATTTTTCCTATAGAAAAGTGATCAGTAACTGGGCAACTTTTCCTATAGAGAAGTGATTAGTAACTGAACGACTTTTCCTATAGAAAGTGATCAGTAACTGAGCAACTTTTCGTACTGACAAGTGATCAATAACTGTGCAACTTTTTTTCTAAAAAGGTGATGAGTAATTGAAAAACGTGATCAGAAACTGAGCTTTTTTTTTAATAGAAAAGAGATACATATGTAACTGAGCAACTTTTCCCATAGAAAAGTGATTAGTAACTGAGCAACTTTTCCTATAGAAGAGTGATCAGTAACGGAGCAACTTTTCCTACAGACAAGTGATTAATAACTGAACAACTTTTTCTTTAGGAACGTGATCAATAACTGAGCAACTTTTCTTATAAAATAGTGATCAGTAACTGCGAAAAGTGAACAATAACTAAGCAACTTTTTTACAGAAAAGTGATCAGTAACTGAGCAACTTTTTTTTACAGAAAAGTGATCAGTAACTGAGGAACTTTTCCTATAGAAAAGTGATCAGAAACTGAGCAACTTTTCCTATAGTAAAATGATCAGAAACTGAGTAACTTTTTTATAGAAAAATACCTGAGCAGAAAAGAGATAAAGTAACCGGGCAACTTTTCTAATATAAACAAAATTTGTCCCTTAATAATTGTGTCTTATAAAGGCAATAGAAAAAAATTATTGGGAAATTCCAAATGTTAAAGATTTTATATAATATTTTCAATATCATGTACTAATCATACATGTAATTGTTCAATTATTTGAATGAATTAATTCCTGGTAAAAACTGTCAATGTCATTTACAAGCAATATCGAATCATATTATTATATAAACATTGTCTAGTAGTTAAATAATTGTTTTTTCCAGTTAAATGGTATAATGTCATAACACAAAGACAAAATATACGTGGTCTTGAACGTGAAATGGAAGATGCATTATATTGTCCAGATTGTTTACCCTCTTGTACGGAGACGAAGTTTAGTGTCCAAGTAATGGGTTTGCCATTAAATGAATACAATATGAAATCATTTCCGTAAGTGCTAAGAGAAAATAATAAAAAATCTTTAAAATACAAGCATTTTTATACCCTACACCACTTTAGTGGGGAGGGTATATTGGGTTTGTGCTGATGTTTGTAACGCACAATAAAGTATTAGAATCTTTTTCTGAGTCGATTTAGCTATGTTCGTCCCTCCGTCTGTCCGTCCGTCTGTCTGTCTGTCTGTCTGTCTGTCCGTCCATGTAAACCTTGTAATCAAACTACAGGTCGCAATTTTGAAGATAATTCAATGAAATTTGGTACATGATCTTCTATTGTCACAGGGACGAAGCCTATTGAAAATAGTTAAGATCGGTCCATTATTTCACCTAGCCCCCATACAACTGAACCTCCGAATAGGGCTTGTAAACCTTGTAATCAAACTACAGGTCGCAATTTTAAAGATAATTCAATGAAATTTGCACATGATCTTCTATGATACCGAAGACGAAGCCTATTGAAAATGGTTAACGTCGGTCGATTATTTCATCTAACCTCCATACAACTGAATAAGGATCTTAAGTTCATAATTATGTTTAATATACTCGTATCCCCACAAAAAGCTGCAAAACCAAGTTCTCCACTAGCCTTGATGACCCTCAAAAATTGTATAGTTATAATTATTATAGGATATTATATGGTCGGCCTCGATCGACTATAATTTCTTACTTGTTTTTACTAATTTCTGTTTTTAGTGAATATAAGAAAAATTACTCCGATTTGGCTTTGGTGCGTATATTTTTTGGGGAAACAAGTGCAATTTACTTTAAAAGAGTATTGGTGGATTCGTGGTTCGAAATATTCAGTAAGTTTTGTTTGAAAGAATTTAAATCCCAATTTAGTTGTATTTCTTAACTTTAGGTCATGTTGGTAATATTTGCGGTATTATAGCTGGATTTTCGTTAATCGGCATTTGTGAAGTACTTTTCTTTTGTATACAACAGCTGTGTAGAGCCTATAGGAATGAAGCACAATTGGATGGAAATCGTAGATTTACTAGAGATCAGCCCCTAATGATATTACCATGAGATATTGAAATTTATAGAATACTACTAGTTCACAATTTTTGTTAAATGTAAAACAACTTAAAGAATAAATTATTTCGAAAAAGTGGTAAAATCATATGATATATAACACTGTTTTTGGAATATTAATATATTTAGAAACTTGAATAAGTTATGAATCGATTATGGAACTTGTTGAAGAAAATGTTCATTATCGGATTTAAGCCGAATAAAATTTTCAGTAACTAAACAGTCATATAAACATTGTTAGATTATGAATAAAATAAATAACATTAAAAATATTTACTTTACACTTTTTATTTAAAACATACATATTCAAGGTAAAATATACAATTTCTTAGACTTAGTTTTGGTCCTCTTGCCATTTTTCAAAAGCTGGGAATGATTTTCACTATTAGTGATAAACATTTTTAAGGCAATGTATAAATATTTTATGAGAAAAAATAATATTTCAAAAACAGCCACCATAGAAAAGCCCAAAAATATTGAAACAATATTGCCAACAGTACCTTTTGGGAAAGAGAAATGCAAATATTAAAATTCACCTGAATTTCGACAACAAACATTGTTTGAGAAACTTAATAAACACTTACTAAATGCCTCCTCCCAGGTATTACTAATCACACGTTTATAAAATAGAGCTGTAGGTTCACCAAAATACACACGCAATACTGACAAGTCCTCCAGTTTTAAATTAAAATCATCACTACGCAAAGGACGAAAAGAGGAAGAATTCGAAGAAGGTAAAGGAAATCCCCATAACGTTGGTAGTGTTAAGAATTATGCGTTGTTTTTATTAAATTTCATTGAATTTAATTTAAACTTACCCCACATTTTCCGGTACGACCAGACGATCTGTAGGTAGAGACATCATAGAAATATCATATTGTGTATCATCACACGATGGCAGACACTGAGGACAATATAAGGCCTCCTCTACTTCACGTTCTAAACCCAAAATGCTAATGCGCTTTGTAAGCACGTTACGCCATTTAACTAGATATGAATTTAAATGACAATTTAAAATACTATTTCTGTCTTTTTGTGTGTTCTTGGTGCTGTGCTGCTATATAGTTTTCTACTTCAGAATCAAACAACCAACCAGTGAAGCAGTGGGTTTGAATAAGACATGAAGGTAATTATTAACATGTGTGTTGCTTAGAAATGATGACATTACATGAATCTAATGCTATGCAAAAGTATCTTACATATAAATGTATGGATTTTCATATAAAGATGTGAGGAGTGTGCTAAGGCAGTGGTAACAACAATAGTGTATAGTCGTATTAGAATTGTTATATGAAACCATTAAAGTCGCAAAGAATAGATATGTTGTAGAAACAAAAAAAAAGGGGTAATGTTTATTATAATTATGCTTATCAGTGGAAATGGTTCATTGATTTTATTAAGGTGGATGGATATGGTTGGTAGGTGAATGATATAACATATACATACATACATACTTTGTTTATACATGAACATATAATGTACATATGTAGTTAATAATATTGAACTGTTTAATGGAATAAAATAAAAATAAAAAAACAAGTGTCCTAAGAGTGTACAAGGTGCCAGTGCTTTTAATGTGTTAAAAAATCGATTTTTACAATCATTAGAATAAAAGAAAATGATCTACAACAGTGGCGAGGCTATGAAGCGTAGTAGTGCCTCCAGTAGTTTAGTTGTAGGGTTAGGTTGATAGAAGGATGTATACTACATCAAATCCGAAGAAATACACCTAGGCCAGTATCTGGCCTATTGTGCTCTGCTTTTCATGATAAAAAAATGTCACTGAATTTATTATTTTTCAATGTTCAGAAACTCAGTTTCTTGGACGTAATTCCTAAGAATTTTCCAATCAGTTTTAGTCAGGAATGTTATTTCCGGAATAACATCACTTCCAATATACTTGAATCTAACTTCGACGAATGTTTAACAGTGGCAAAGAAAGTGGTCCAGAGTTTCACTGTCCTCTCCACATGCTCTACATTTGTCTGAATCCGCATGTCCAATAATCCTATGTGTCCACTCAGATTACGTACTATCATACTAACTCATTTTTGAGGATCTCATAGGATCTTTGTAGTTGTACCCACCGTTTCATTATTCCAAGAGGCCTTATGGGATTTTCTCACCCATTTTTAAATTTGTTGCGTCGAGCTCCCTTCCCTTTAAAACTATCACATTCGCCCTTTCATTGTCGACTACCCCCGAGTGGCCTTGTTCCCATATGATGTATGTAAACCTTACCTCTGGGAGAGTATTCAGTTAAAGTTTTTTTACAATCCAATAAGGTCTTAGATTTAATTCACCTGATATTGCCCTAATTGCCTTCTGGCTGTCGGTAAATATATTAAGCCCTTTGGGCGCCATATTTATTCTAATCCAATTTAGAGCCATCTGTGTAGCAACGGATTCCTACTGGTATTTGCTCTTATGTTCCGCTTGACCAAGACATCTGGGATCAGCGTTTCAAAGTATCCGACATATTTTGTGTCTGGTATACGATCAGACACGTCCGAAGATTGTGTATAATCTTCCAATGTATCCACTATACATTGATGACGTGTCGTTCCAGTATACATTGATGACGAGCCGTTCGGATGTAAGCGCCGCCTCATATCTTAAATATATTTCAATGGGTGGAATATCTAGCAACGTTTCCAGAACCTTGATTGAAGTAGTACACATGGCACCACTTATACCCAAGCAGCATGTACGCTGAACTCTCTGTAGTAGTTTGATTTTACACTTTATGTTTAGTAGTAAGTGTTAAAGTCTGTTAGGCCGGAAGTCGTGGGTTCCCAAAAATTTATTTTTTACAATTTTACCAATAGGCTCTGCATTTCTTTCGAGTCTGAGAGAATAAAATATAAATTTGTTGGTAGTTTAATAAAATAATTGAGCAAATCGGGAACATTTGGACCCCCTGTTATCAAAAAACTCGATTAGGATGGATACAATTGTAGAAAATTTAATTTTCAAATGAGAATATCTCCTACGTTATAGGATAGTTTTAAAAAAATTGTATTCCCTAGGTGTCCTACGCCCCTCTAAGCCCTGGTAGACTGATGTAGTCCAAGTTCAAAAGTTCGATACGGAATCATCTTAAAAAATACGATTAATTTTACTTGATCATGAATTACTCAGGCAATTCCCAAAAATGTATTTTTTACAATTTTACCAATAGGGTCTACATTTCTTTCGAGTCTGAGAGAATGAAATATAAATTTGTTGGTAGTTTAATAAAAGAATTGAGCAAATCGGGAACATTTGGACCAGCTGTTATCAAAAAACTCGATTAGGGTGGATACAATTGTAGAAAATGTAGAATGAGAATATCTTCTACGTTATAGGATAGCTTTAAAAAAAAATAGTATTCCCTAGCTGTCCTACGCCCCTGGTAGGCTTATGTAGTCCAAGTTCAAAAATTCGATACGGAATCATCTTAAAACGAAAAAATACGATTAATTTTAATTGATCACGAGTTACTCGGTGAGTGTAGATTGTGCAATTCAAAAACAATATTTGTGCTACCGAAATCATTAAAAATTTTACACACATTTTACATTCAAATACAATATAAGTTTTCCAAAATCTTACTCACAATTATAACGATTCATACAAGCAACATGATGTAAACTACAATAGGGAACACCAACTTTGTCCATATATTCCAAGGGCATATAAAATGGAACACAACTGCACAAGGCAGCAATGCTACGAATGCGACATCGTGTTATACAATTTGAAAAAGTATAAGTATTGCGTAAAAGCAGATCGGGATCAGGGGATTCGTCATCAAAGTAACACTTACGCTAAATTATGAAAAATAAACTTATAAAAAGTTACTAACCTAAGACACACATACTATAAAAATGCCTACATATGATGGATCAAAAGTTCTTAACTCTTCACTGGTATCCATAAACTTGGCCCTAATCGCTATAAATGATTCTTCATTATTCATGGGAAATACTTCAATAGCACTACCCGAACCAATATCGGGAAAATCATTAGGATTATGTATGATAACAACATAAGCATCCATATTTAGTATAGGAACCATATCATCAGAATGTGAAGAATTTAATAAGACTGTTAGACCCAGTTCCGAGGTTATTAAACGAAAAGTAGAATTACGTTTTCTATAGCTATATTTGGTTAAATGCATTAAATAATAATATTATTGCAAACAATTCAATTTTAAATAACAAACATACCTATCTTTTGAATTGAATACACAACAAAGCCCATACATAGTAAGACCTTCCTGAAATGCATTTTCAGCAAAACAGTCTATTTCCTTACCATTCAAAAAACATTTCACAATTAAATTTCTACAATTGGGTGTAAGCTTTTTGGGTTTTCAAATATAATATTTAAGTTATATATTTTGAAATACTAAAATTTGTCTTTAAACTTACCAATTTAACGATTCTTAATATATCGTAATAAGTTTCATTTTCATCCGTTCCATAAATATCAAGAAATGATTGAAATCTTTCAAATTCTTCATAATCATCAACTCGTTGAAATTTGTAATATAAACTATTAAAATGTTCCACGTATTTTATAAAATATTGTGCGGATCTATTACGAGGATCTTTAAAGGATCTGAAAATATTAAAATTGAATAAAATTATTAAAAGTTTAGAACAAATCATTTTATAAAATTAAATTTTGTTGCCAAATTTTAAATATATGTACACATACAATTACGATTAAATTTTCCTCTAGCCAAAACCTTTATGAATTTTTAAAGTTTTAAGGAAATTTCTTAAATAATTTAAATTTACTTTCCCTAACCATTTTATGTTTGAATTTCCTTTTCATTTTTCTTTTTTATAGTTTTAACTTAAAACACACTTACAATTCATATGCATATCTTTCAGCTGCCTGTCGTGATATGCGATTATTGGAACATATTGATATAGCGGGAAATGGCATATTCTCTATTGGATACAGAGGATCATGTAAATTAAGTGCAAAATATTGAAGGACAAATTGATCCCATGTGTATGACAGTATAGTTATCACAACGGCCAAAGTTGTCACATGTAGACAGAACCAAATTAATCTGTAAATAAAAAAAAAAGAAATAAGTAAAAACATCAGAGCTAGATATTAAAAAAAACAAGTAGACATAAATAAAAGAAATATATTCAAGGATAAAATAATACTGATAGTTTGTTTAAAAAATAGATTAAGTCACATTGGTTACTAGGCATTCGAACACCGAAATTTGTTTTATATGTAGTGATGTGGTCCTACAACCATCACCACCGTCACACGACCGCCCATCCGACTAACTACAATGAAAAACCTTTCATTTTGGCAACTGTCAAATTAATTTATATTCGCTTGATATCGATAATCTTAGCATAAGTTTATTTTTAAAATAGACTACTTAGGTCATTTAAACAATAAATGCATACGGTTTATGGTCCTTTAAATTTGCAAATACTTCCAGTTGTTTAAAAGAATTATCTTTTTTTTCGTATAGTCAAATTTACGTAATTTTGAAGATTTTAAACAGCTTTTTATAATAAGTTCTAATTCCTTATATAGAAAAATAAATTAAGCAACTTATTATTGTTCTTTAAGCAAACTGGAGAATCCAACGAATGATATAATTCTTTAATAGATTGTTGCACATTAAATATGTCAATTTATAGATTCTTTCTTAATGCGAACATAACGCTGTTTATTACTTATATTCGTGGGTCCATAGATAATTTATTACAACAATATTTCGGACACTTCGATGAACCTCCATTATCTTAGTGAGAACCAACTCACCTTAGTGTTACTGATATCCTAGGTATAGAGGTGCTACTACCGATACTGACTTGCAGTCTGACCAGAGAACCCAAAGCCGGATAAAGGAGAGGCCCTTGGGGTTCCACATGATGGTAGGAAGTGACAATGTTGTTTGATGCACTATGAAATTAATATTTCGGTATAAGTTCAGTACTGTTGCCGAGACAATAGGATCCTTTAGTGGAATGTCATTGGGTCTAAATTTGGACAATGAATTAATATCACAGGAATGATATACAGAATGAATCAGGAGTATGCAGAGCCAAAACCACACGCATATACAAGTGAATGTGTCGGATAAAAAATATTCAAAAGATAAACGAGAGGTTGCTGAGTTCATCGAAACCTTATACCTTTCTTGATCATTGTCCTACGTAAAATTTCTTATTATTACCGATGTTTACAAAATTACGGTTTGAACTATTAATGTCAAAACGGGGAATGTATGAGTGCTTTACGTTAACTCCAGCCTTGATGGCTTTTTTTCATGGTGATCTTTTTCATCCACTGGGTAGACTTGAGAACGGTCTTCCACGCGCCCTCGATTGACTTCCAAGAGGAATGGTTCTGCCGGTCTATGTACAGACACTTTGCTGCAGTACTCTAGCATGTCATGATACGCAGAATTAATCAGGAGTATGCACAGCCACACCCACATGCATATACAAGTGAATGTGCCGGATAACAATTTATAGCAATAGGTTCTGCCGATCCATGTACAAGCACTTTGTTGTAGTCGATCTTGTCAAAACGGGGAATCGAAAATCTCTTATCCTTTTAACGAGAACAACACTACAGTCTGACATATCTTTTCGTTATAGGTATCATCGTAGTTGGAATCTTCGTCGACTGCATTAAACAATATAAGGAAGACTTAAGCATTGAAAGAAAATCTGGATCGGAAAAATATTCATATCAGCGAGATCAATAATTTCAAATATATTTCCAGAATAACACAAAAATCAACGCAAAGTTACATCGTCTTAGAATCCTTTTTTATTTTGGGTATAATAACCTCACCAAAGCAAGACTTTTCAAAATTCTTCCGTCAGAATTTAAAATTATAATTGTTATTCCAATTTCTTATCAATTGAACTACTTATACAAAAACAAGTAAGAAATTATAGTCGGGCGAGGCCGACCATATAATACTTTACACCTGTTACAAAAATAAAATGTTATTTAGTTTTCATAATAAAGCATTTAAGGTGAATTGTACCTTGCCTCAAATGTACTTAAGTCATTTATTGTTGAATAAAATTGTGGACATTTAAGTCAAATTTTGAAAGGGGCTTTGTATAGGGGCTAGGGTCAAATGAGACCCTCGGTTTTGCAGCTTTTTGTCGAGATTCGAGTATATTACACATAATTATGAACTTAAAAGCCCTATTAGGGGGTTAAGTTGTATGGGGGCTAGGTGAAATAATAGACCGATCTTAACCATTTTCATTAGGCTTCGTCCCTGGGGAAAAGAACCAAATTTCATTGAATTATTTTCAAAATTGCGACCAGTAGTTTGATTACAAGGTTTACATGGACGGACAGACAGACGGACATAGCTATTAGAAAATGATTCTAAGCCGATTCGTATACTTTAAGGTGGGTATAGGACAAATATAATTCTGCGTTACAAACATCAGCACAAACCCAATATACCCTCCCTACTAAAGTGGTGTAAGGTATAAAAACAACAAACAACACATATGCATTGGTGAACAACGAAAGGATAGATAGTATGTAAATGTATTTATAAATGTCTACGTACGTACTTTTCATATAAAAATAATTCCGTTTCGAGAAGTTTATTGTAGCCATGCATGGATATATTGCGAAATAAATCTGTCATATCCTGACACAACGTGGTGCGGCGTTTATGTTCTTTAGGATTTTTTATCCACCATACAGCGTTCGAAGTAGATTTAATATCAACCATTGTTTCTATTTTTTAACGCACTTCTCCTTCTTCTTACACTTTTGTTCAGTTTTGTAGACTACACTTGGATGTTGGTTAAAAAAATATGGCTTTAGTAAGGACTTCACTCAATGGCAGAAAAAAATAAAATTTGCCAAAAAAAAATTCAACTTGCACGAAAAACAAATAAAATCAAGTAAAACGGATATGAACGAACGTAGACCTTGTTTTTGTTTTATATTTATAGACTTAAACACGATGTTTTTGTCATTGTTGTCCTTGTTACTATTTGGTATTGGTTGTTATATCCTGTTGTATAACAGCTCATATGTTGCTTATGTATGATGTTGAATGTCCTTGTTTTTCTGGTTTCCTTGTACTGGATTTCATGCAGACTGATGCTGCTGCTGCTGCTGTCGCCGATGAAGTGCGTACGCGTGCTGTTGACGTGTAATTGTGTCGTCGTTTAAAATGCAGTTAAATGACAACTTAACAACTTTGGTTACTTGATGAGTTGGTAACTTCCCAAAATATGTTCTTCGCATACGTTCAAACGTACGCTTTTATAGCCAAAAAACAATTGTTAATGAAATATTTGTATGCGAGTGTGTATGGATTGGAAAACTTTAAATATTCATTAACACTTGAAGTACATTTAACCAAACATCGTTGTATTAAAGACATTAACATTAAAAGGGGGTGTTTATTTACGGGAAAAACTTTTTAATTACTTGTAATGATGTTTAATTATAACTTAAGTTTATAGCAGGTAAATTGATGCCATACTTAATCAGGCTTAAATATAAAGTGTTTGGCATTTTTCTTTAAAAAGGACACTTTGACATACACCTGTACCGAACTTTGTATGGAACTATAGGTTGACATTCCTTCAATATACGACATGAAGCACGGCGGTTCTGAGTTATCTCCCCCAATGTTCTATAATATCATACTAGACGTTGTCTTTTGCACTTGGGTCTTTTTTACTTCTTTTAATTTCGTGTAATTTCAAGTATTGGGGGAGGAGGCAACTCAGAGGACATTGCCAGTCGGATCAGAAAAGCACAGAATTGTTCATATCATGATCCAACCAATTTCATAACCCAATGACCAAGGTACACTTTTGTGCTGATGTTTTTAACCACTTGGACATACTGGAATTCTTAAGATAACCTATTTAGCAATTTTCCGTTATAAATATAAGCAGGCCTAAAATCCGAGTGCGCATCATTAACAATTACGGTAGTAAGGAATCTATTGTATTAAAACTCTATTTTATTAAAACACTGCCAGAACAATATGCAAACGGACGAATATCGGAAAGTGTTTGTAAATTGATTGATTGGTACCTATACTGTTTGAGAATTGCTGCAGGAATACCTATTAAATCACACATACAACTAGGGTTGTCATTCGAATAAAAATTATTCGATTAATCGAGGAAAAAAATTTGTTTTTCTTCGAACGAATAAAAAATTTTCAATTTAGAACAGAGAAGCTCAATATTGCCATTACATAGCACGCGTGATAGGGTAAGAAAATTCTGCTGACGCTAAGTTGATACACATACAGTATAGGTTTAATTCTTCTTCTTTTTATAATGAGCAATATCAGTTGGTTTGCTCTCAACTTGAAAAACAAAATCAAATCAGTTGCTGATCAGCACTTGTCAAAGCAAGGTCTGTGCGCGACGTTTTTAAAATACACACAGAAATACAACAACACAATTTTGAGAAAGCCGAATTAATGTAGGAGAACATGAGAGAACAGTTGATAGTTTTTTATATATAGACTTTGATATACGCTGGCTGTCAAACTCCGTAATAAATATTTGACAGTTAGCATATACTTTATAGTTTGTAGTCATTTTATTAGTATACTTTTATTTTGAATTGAATTCTGTTCTCTGCTGCTTTACTAACACAAATAAAACTATGGTAGTCTATGGTGGTATGTGTTTGAGCAACACTGATTTAGAATAAAGAATAATTCGAACAATTTTTGCCGATTAATCGAATATTCGAATAATATTTGAATGTTACTTTTTACGAATATTTTATTATACATAGCATTGAAA